TCCCCCCAATCCCTTCTCTGCAGTGGCTTTCTCGTTCGATCGACGAAAAAGGAGGCGGCGGGCTCTCCTCCTCTCGAAAACTCTTTTTTTCGAATAGCTCGCATTCCGAGCAACCTTTTTTTCCATTCGAGCCAGCCGCTCACTCCCCTTCCTAGTAGCTGGGCCCGCGCGGAGGGCCACCGCTCGCTTACCTGGCGGACACTCCCGCGGATAAAGAGCCCAGGACGTAAAAGACCTCGACGCCCCGAGGCCTGACCTCCCGAGAGAGGATCGGACCGTGGCCTCCCGCTCTTCATCCTCGCGGCGCGCATTCCATCTCTCGCGGCGCGCTCGAGGCCGCCCCCCGTTATCGATCTCCCTTTCGTCCGCTCTGACATTCCATTCCGTCATTAATGAAAGCCACGCGGAGGCCGATATACGCGCGGCCTCGCGACTCGGCTTGTTTATTCCTTGCTAAGAGGGGCCGCCCCCGGGAGAGCTCGAAGCGTTCGCTCGCGCTCCTCTCATTTCCCGCTCGAGGCTTATCGGGCTTGGTCGAGTGGGATTGGGAGGGAGGGGGTGGCGGTGGTGGTGGTGGTGGAGAAGTTCTCGCGGAAACTCGGCCGACGGGGAGGTCTGAGCAGATCAAGGCACTCGGCTCACGCTCAAGGTCGAACAACTACTGACTCTTCATTACTGGCCCCAAGCGTGTTGCGTCGCGGCAACTTGATGACGACGACGACGACGACGACGACGACGACGACGACGACGACGACGACGACGACGACGACGACGACGACGACGACGACGACGACGACGACGACGACGACGACGACGACGACGACGACGACGACGACGACGACGACGACGACGACGACGACGACGACGACGACGACGACGACGACGACGACGACGACGACGACGACGACGACGACGACGACGACGACGACGACGACGACGACGACGACGACGACGACGACGACGACGACGACGACGACGACGACGACGACGACGACGACGACGACGACGACGACGACGACGACGACGACGACGACGACGACGACGACGACGACGACGACGACGACGACGACGACGACGACGACGACGACGACGACGACGACGACGACGACGACGACGACGACGACGACGACGACGACGACGACGACGACGACGACGACGACGACGACGACGACGACGACGACGACGACGACGACGACGACGACGACGACGACGACGACGACGACGACGACGACGACGACGACGACGACCACTGACGACGAGTCGGGCGTTGTACACCGATCAACAGACATCAACTATCGGCGTGCCGAGACTCGTTGTTGCGCAATAAAATGTTCCCCCGTAAGTTAGCGGCGGTTAGGAGCTGGGAGCCGATTACGCCTTGTAAACCTCTGTCTCTCTCTCTCGCTCTCTCTCTCTC